CTCCCCGCGGAGCAGGGAGCCCAATGCGGGACTTGATCCCAGGGTCCTGGGATCATGACCTGAGCCGAAGGCAGACACCCAACCGACTGAGCCACCCAGGTGCTCCTATAAAGATTTTATTTATTTATTTTTTAATAAAGACAATTTTTTTTTGAAGATTTTATTTATTTGACAAAGAGACACACAGCGAGAGAGGGAACACAAGCAGGGGGAGAAGGAGAGGGAGAAGCAGGCTTCCCACTGAGCAGGGCTCCTGACTCGGGGCTCGATCCCAGGACCCTGGGATCGTGACCTGAGCCGAAGGCAGATGCTCAACGACTGAGCCACCCCAGTCGGCCCTCCTCGAAAGATTTTAATACAAAGTATCAATATCTCCCTAGCTTCAGCATTCTGGCTAGATCTTCTAAGTGAAAACAGCCTCACCCGCAAGTAAAACCACTCACAAGGCGACTCCAGCATGGAAAATATAACTGAGATTGTCAGCTGCCATGCCATGTGGACATTCTAGGAATTGTGATCCGTTATTCGATAATCCTTTATTTGCTAATCCATCTACTTGCTAAAATCTATTTGCAATTTCATACTCAACACTCGCAGCGCTTTGGTGGACGTGTGCATAGCGGCCAAAAACGTGGGGCGCCTGATGTTCCCAGCTGAGGACTGACAAGGTGAAGCACCGCCTGGTTTCAGCTCCCACTGTGAACAAGCATGCTTTCCTGGTCTAGTTAGTGCCACGTTTCCAGCATTTTGGTATTTTTGCCGGTGATCTCGCTGTTTAAAATGGCCCCAGGTGTAGTGGGGAAGTGCTGTCCTAAGCCCCAGGCTGTGACATGCTTCAGAGAGAAAGCACGTGTGTGGCTAAGCTCCTACAGGACTCATGGTGCCATTGGCCGTGAGCTCAGTGTTAATGCAACAACAGTGTATATTCAGTTAGGTGTCCTTAAACACAAACACCCACAAAACAAGGTCGTGAACTGGTCGGTTCACAAAGACTGGAGGCTCACGGGCACCTGACCCTGTCCCTGTTTGCGGGGAATCAATAGCAATGATTCGCTATTTCAGTGTTTGTGTTGATTTTACGGTACATAATTACCATGAATGACTCAGATGTGTTTAAGGGTATTATTGCCTAACAAAAAGGCGTGTTTTACCTTTTATTACAACTTTTTCCATAATTTTAACACATCTTGATATAATGAAGACAATTCCCTGTCATGTATGGAGGACCCACGGGATTTGCGGAATGCAAAGGATTCGAATGGATTTCTGTTCTCAGGCAGAGAAAAAACTCATCCAGTCTTACTCTCCTGCTCACAGTCCCTGACTCCACGGGGCTAGCATCCATGAGATCTGAGGGTGGCACTGTCCCCAAGAACTGACAAGGACTTCAGGAAGACAGCTTTAGGGGACAAGATGCTGAATGCATTTTTGGACAGGCTGGGCCTGCGATGTGTGGGATAATGGGCAGAGAGGTCTGGAAGAGTTGGGTCTCAGGGTCTGAGTCTGGGGCAAGTGGGAGCCATGGGTGATGCCCATGCAGGAGATACCACGGGTCATCTCTGACAGGCCAGCTCCGGGGGCCGACTGGACCAACCGTAAGACCACATCTGCCCGCGCTCCCTGCCTCACCTCAGCCTTCAGACCAGCCCCCCTCGCCCCTGCCTCCCCTGGACAGCAGTTACCCAGCATCATTGCCTTACAGGGAGATACAGACTGGTTCTGCGTACCATGCAGATCTCCAAAGAATCCATAAACATTTGGGGAAAAAAATGTATAATTTATTTTTACAATATTTCACAATTGAATTTCACAGTTTAAAAAAGATACAAAACAAAAGAAGATACAAAGTAAGACAAACAGAAAACGACGCTAAGGAAGGAACACGTTCTCACCACGACAATGTTTTTTAAAATCTGGCTTGAGGGGCAGGTGGGGTGCGGAGGGTTTGGAAGGTCCCCGGGGATGGTGCTGAGGAGGCACGTGGATCAGAAGCATACCCCACGACCTTCCGCTTTAAGGTTAAGTGGCAGCAGTAGAATCATTCATTTTCTTCTGGGAAACCAGTGTGCTAGAGTGGAGGCAGGAAAGCAGCACTCACAGCATGACCACTGATGCTCCACGCTCGGCGATTCAACCATGGCCCTTCCCTCCAGGGGAAGCCTGAAGGGCAGGAAGGGGCAGAGTCCAAAGCACCCCTTTCTCTTCTTTGTTGCGAGCCTAGGCGCTGCTCTTCAGCACGCTGGTGTACAGAACGCTTTGCAAAGCAGCTCAAGTCCACTGCTGTTTGCACTTGGCAAGGACAACAGTTTCAAAGAGCCAAAAGTAGCAACTACTTGGAGGCAGGGGTCAAGACTCGCTGAGCACTGAGGTAGTTCCACGCAGCAGCTTGACATGGAAACAGTGTATCTTCAATCATCCCTGATTTCCCCTGGGGTGACCTCAATTTCCATGTGATCAGCAAGGCCTCAAGAGGGTCACCATGGCACCCCACAATCTCCAAGGAAGAGGGTGGGGAGTGAGGCTGGGTCTCCCTCGGGGGTGTCCCCCCAACACGTGGCGGCCGCCAGCCCAGCTGTGCACAGGGGGCTCATGTTTGCAATGGTTTTCCTTGTTCGGAGGGAATTGTCCACACTCTCGCCCTCGCGAGCAGGAGCAGAGGTTCTTGTCTTCAGCATGAAGGGCTGGTCCCTTTGTTTCCAGCCACCACCCGGGGCTGCTGGGAAGGCACTAAAAATTGATCAGCGAAGACCCCTGTGGGGAGACTGGCCGCGGGCAGCCCTCCCCAGCAGTGACCCCAGAAGCTTGCCGCTGATGGTCCCACCCAGCTTTCTCCCTTTCTATCTCCAGCCATCCAGCAGCTGAGAAGTCACCGGCCCCAGGTACATCCAGAAGCGGCCCCCGCAGTGGGCTCGGAAGGAAGATCCCAACGGGGCAGCCTCCAACCCATTGCTTTGCCTCGGCCCTTAGGCGCCCGCAGCCAGCTGGGCCTGGTCACCCCTTTTAGACTAGGGGTCAGGGAGCAAAGGGTCTGTGGCCTGCACAGAACTGTGGAGAGTGCCAAAGACAGACGAATTCACTATTTAATAACAATGAAAGGACCTTCAAATCTTTTCTAAAAATACATTATGCTCAGGGAATGAAGAATCAGCCCCTTCATTTCCTCGAGGAACAGTACCAAGGACAAAGACCACACGGATTAGCTGTTTGCCTGTTCAAAAAGGAAAAAAGAAATGATGTTATTTTCTTCAGCCATAAAACGGTAGTAGCAAATTATTTTTTTCTCCTAGACTGACTTCTCACCAAATGAGCAAGCTGAGTGGGACTAAGAGATATCTCTCCTACGGCACGAAGGTCAAGGAGTTGGGCTGGCACCCCTTTGGTTTGATACAGGATATTTTCAACTTTCCGTGTTTGTGGGCCCTGCTCCTGGGCTCCCAGGGAAGCTATACCCAAATTCTGGTCTTCACCACTTTTCCTTGTACCAGGGAACCCCAGCTGCTCCTCCACCCCGGGGCACAGAGATCCGGCTGATCTGCCTCGCTCTGCTCTCTGCCCATCACCGGAATTTGATTTGATGAGTCGGGGGCGGGGGGGGTGGTGGTGGTGGTGAGCAGAGCCAGCTGAGTCAGAGCTAAGCATGGTCAGCAGAGCACAGGGAAGCCCGTGTTCGCTCGGCTCCGGACTCGGAGAGGCTCCGCCCTGGGTTTTTGCACCCGGGCAGCAGTGAGGGTGGACAGCGGAGGACGGGGAGGGCGATGCTGACTGCAAACCGGGGCCCCGGGAGGCAGAGTTTGCGCGGTGCTGGGTGGGGGGGGGGGGTCAGCCGTCAGCCTCCTGCAGGCACCAGACTCAGAGTGCTCGGTGAGGAGGGGGACAGGGAAGTTACCCTCATTTGTCGGTAAATCCAGTCCGTAAATACTGTCACGTTTCCGTACACTCCTGGTCTGTTAGGTTTGGCACAGCCGGATCCCCAGCTCGTGTCCCCAATCAACCACCAGATGCGGCTCTTCAAAGTGACCAGGGGACCTCCACTGTCACCCTGGGGGACGCGGCAAGAGCAGAAGTTCAGACCACAACCCGCGCACACAACTGGCCACGCACCGAGGGTGGGGGTCGGGGTGGGTGTCCCCACGTGAGTTACGAGTGGGTGTGCGGGTTTCGTGTCTCCCCCGGCGAGGGACAGCAATATAATCCCCCAGAGGCTACGCCGGTGACGAGTTTTAGTCTGTACCAAGTAGGAGTTACTAAATAAATTGTGGACCGTATTTTTAAATAGTTCAAAAGCATATTTCTGTCCCACTGACAAGCTGACAAAATAAAACCCTTGGGGTGGAAGCGGAGGCGGCTGGTGGGTGGCAAAACGCGCTTCCCCAGCGTTAGCGCTGAGCCTGGCCACGGCCACGGCCACCCCGGAGCTGCCTCCGGTCCGGGAGCACGGACCCCGCCTCGGTGGGGGCGGGCGGGCCACGGCGGGCCTGACACCTTGCAGTCACCTGGCAGGAGTCGATGCTTCCCCGCAGATAGCCCGCGCAGATCATGGTCGGCGTGACCAGATTGTTGTAGATGTACTTGCTGTTACAGCGCCCAGGCTCGATGAGGGGCACCATGACTGCGTTCAGCTCGTCCGAGGTCTTCCCTGAGACAGAGGTCGACACAGAGCTGCTGTGGGGCCAGCAGCTCCCGCGGGAACAGAGGACTCCCTCCTGGGGACATGCTCCTGCGACAGGAGACCGATGGGCACGGCCCCTCCCCGCCCTCACTGCTCCCCCCAAGTCTTGTCCCGGGACACTGGGTCATCCTTGCTACGGGAGCAGTGTGCCGAGTGCGGCTCTTCCTTTTCAGGGACACCTCCCTGCCCCCGGGGGCTCTGGAACGCCGTCCGTCTTCTAGAACCTCCTCTCTCACCACCCAGCGACTTGGTTTGGGGCTCCCTCCTCACCAGACCATTCCCGGGCCCACGGGGTGCTCCTGTGTTTCCACCTTCAACAGCCCCGTGGCCCTCCACATACCGCCCCACCTCTCGGCTCCCATGCACGTTAAAACTTCTGTCAACCAGCGTGGACCCTTGTCATCTCTACCACTCCCCTCCCATCTTGCCGCCTCCACATGGGTGTCCTCCAGGCACCACGGGCTTCAGGAGCCAAAACAGAGCCTCTCACTGCTCTCCTCCACCCCAAATCCTCACCACCCCGTACTCCTTGGCTCAGGAAGTGGCACCACCGCCCACCCTGGGGCTCAGATCACGAAGCAAAGAGCTGCCCTCCCTGGATCCCTCACTCTCCCCCCTGCTGATATTCACTCCATCTGCAAGGTGGTGGCTCCGTCCCGAACATGCTTGGTGTCCCCACCTCCCAGCCCACCACCCACAGCTGAGCTGGTCAGGGAGGACCACAGCAATGATTCCCCACACTTGAGTTCAACCCCCCTCCTGCAGGCAGGAGGCATCCTTTTTACTCCCCAAAGGGCCACCAGATCATGTCATTCTCCTTTTTTAAAAATAAGATTTATTTGAGAGAAAGAGCGCATGCGTGAGCAGAAGGAGGGGCAGACGGAGAGAGAATCCTCAAGTAGACTCCTCTCTGAGCATGGAGCCCGAAGCCGAGCTCCATCTCAAGACCCTGAGATCATGACCTGAGCCAAAATCACGAGTCAGACGCTTAACTGACTGAGCCATCCATGTGCCTGTTATTCTCCTTAAAACCTCCTGATGGCTCCCTATCTCACTAAGAATAAAAGCCAGTGTCCTCCCCATAGCCTAGGAGGCCCTGCATGGCCTACACCCTCACCCCTGGCTCACTGTGCCCCAGCCACACTGACCCTTCTTCTGTTCCTTAAACAGCCTGGTCATTCAGATCTCAGCTCAAATGTTGCCTCTTCCAAGAAGCCTTCCCTGATCACCTCTTCAAAGCAGCCAGGCCCCTGCTGTCACAACTTCTTGCTGTTTGAAAGCACCTAGTTCCGTCATTTGTTTCCTGTTTGTCTGACCACATTCTGCCCCCAGATATCCACGAGAAAACATGGAGATTGCCTTATTTTGTTCAGTGCTGCATTCCCAGCCCATGGGAGGTGCCCCACAAATCCGTGATTTTCCCATCTGTCCTGGCCATTGTGAAGCCACGAACACCAACCGGGGGCTCACCTGCAGTAACTGTGTTCACACTAGACGCCTGGATGCCGAGCCCACCACCACCTCCCTGACACGCCCCCCCACATCGCCCCGCCTGGTACTTTTCACCTTGCTTTAAAGGAGGGGTGTGTGTGTGCCTTAAACACTTTTCAGAAGGGTGTAAACCATACATAAGATGCTTCTTTGTACCAGTAAGCACTTCCAGCACTTCATAAACATGAAACAGCTAGGATTCCTTGATCTGAAAAGTATTCTCGGAGATGAAAGCAAATTATAAGGAAGCCAGCTGAGCAGGCCTGTGCCGGGACGGTGTGGGCCCTCCTGTCTCTCTGGGGCGTCAGGGCACGGGGACAAAGCTCTGGCAGCCTGCCGCTGGCCGTCACGGGGCACGCGAGCCCACGGTCACTCAGCCATCGAAGGGCATGGCGGGCTTCCAGGGCAACCCGTTAGCAACAAGGGGGTGCGATCACAGGGCTTGTACACCTCTCACAGTTACGTGGCTTTTATAGTTCAGAAAAGCAGTTTCCACACACTGTTCCGCTGGAGCTTAATCAGAATACTGTGCTAAGTAGGGCAGGTACGATTTTTTCCCATTCAGCAGGTGGAGAAACTGAGGCATGGAGACTGGGTGAATCACCCAAAGTCATCTAATCATGTGGTAATAGAACCAGGATTAAACCCAGGACCTCCCACTTCCAAACCCCATCCTGTTGTCCCGGGGGACCCGCAGAGCTGCGTGCCCTGGAGCCTCACCATTCTCGTAGGTGGCCCCCCACCCGGAAATCCAGCAGGACTGATCCGGCTCTAGCATCATGCCTGGGTTGGGCAGACACACTGGTTTCACTTTGTCTGTTCCAGGAAGAGAAAGCACGGTGAACGGGTCTGGTCTACGCAAGGCTTCCCGCAACAGTCTTCACCTGGACCTTCCCCGCCTGTCCGCAGCTAGGCCTGGGACTGCCACCATCGCTCAAGGAAAATTCCAGATTCCAACGTGTCCTGGCACTCCCACTTTCCGGCCCCGCGGCCCCGCCTTCTTATAGGCAGTCTGCTCCCTCCTCTGGAAGGTATGCTGCTTGGAAATGGGATTATGTGCTAGTTCTGCTTCTAAATATTCACAATTACGGGCGCTCCCAGCCTGCACCTCGGAGGCCCCTGCTGGACACCAGCCCCCCCCGACCGGCTCCTCTGGGTCTAAACTGTATCCCAACTTGAATCCAAACACCTCGAGGAGAGGGACAAGGCTCTGCTTCATCTGTACCCATGTGAGCTGGAACATTCCAGAGGGACCCTTGGACGGTCCAGAACGGGGGCCGAATACGAAGCTAAGGGAAACCATGTGTGTTTTTTATTGTTGTAAATTGTGAAGTATCTTACCTTCAGGATTCTTGTGAAAAAGGAAAGTACTGACGAATGTTCGACCAGTAGCTCTCAACTAGAGGTGACGTCGCCCCCGGGGGACGAGACACATTGTTGTCACAACCGAAGGGCACCACTGGCATCTAGGGGGTGGACGCCAGGGCTCCTGCTACCTGTCCTACCCAAGAGCAGCCAACCCCAAATGTCAACAGTGCTGTGGCTGGAAACCCCTTCTGGACTTCTGCGCGTTGGTGAAATCATCACTCTGATCCGTGCAGGACGGCCGAGCCGCTGACGGCCTCCCCCGAGAGCCGCAGGTACATTCTCGGCTGTGCAGGGTGCCCTGTGAGCCAGCCCCCCGCATCCCACCCTCCGGCTAACACGGCCCGGGGTTCGTTCCAATCCATCTCTGTCCGTAAGGTGTGGTCAGAGTCGTCCACGCACCCTGAGCCCCACGGACACGCGTACGTACCGTTAAAAGTCAGAGGTGTCTGCAACTTCATTAGAGCGATGTCATTGCTCTTGGTCTTGGAATCGTAATTGGGATGGGAAATCACTTTTCCCACTCGGTATCCATGTCCATAGAACATGAAAGATTGTCTCAGGATTCCTGCGAAGGCCGTCCAATACTGGGGGTTGTTCAGCGGTCTGGAAGACAGCGCCGAACACCACTCAGCGTCTCAGAAGCACGAACGCGAACACTCATTTGGCGATGTCCAAAAGTCACACCCTGGAGCCAAGTCTCCCAGAGGTGACAGGACCCGCGAGAAGCTACATGGCGAGGCTGACGAGGAGATCTCAGGCTCCCCTCCCTTGGCACCACACCGTGGCCCCCATTCCTGCCCCCTCTACATCCCCATGCAGCCCGTCCCTCTTGTGCTCTGCTCCAGGTTCTAAGAACACTTTCTCTTGGGCCTGATGCCTCCCTGAGATTTCAAACCTCATTTCTTTTTTTTTTTTTTTAAATATTTTATTTATTTATTTGACAGAGAGAGACACAGCAAGAGGGAACACAAGCAGGGGGAGTGGGAGAGGGAGAAGCAGGCTTCCCGCCGAGCAGGGAGCCCGATGCGGGGCTCGATCCCAG